CACCTAACAACAACAACAACATAGAGTTAATACATGGAACAAGATCACATTACAACATGACCCTGCCCCTCTGTTAATGGAGTCTTGACTTGGCTGGTACCTTGCACACATCCTCCGTCTCTCATTCATGGAAAATTCCCGTACTTTCATATCATCTCAGTAGAGCATTTGCAAGTATACTAATTTGTCATTTGGCATCTAGAAGTTTTGCTGCATGAGGGCTTTTCAGAACATCTTGTCTGACACAGAAGAGGAAGTGAAAGTCTGAGAGGTTTTTCCTCTCAACCAGACACTTTACAGAAGTCTCTGAGCCACAAAACTTGAGATCCTAATTGAGTCAGCTCAAGTTTCCCCCTTTCTCACTGTGAACTAACTGCCACTTAGGATTTTTGAGGATCACTTTTTTTTTTTTTTTAATGCTGTACATCAGTTGTTTATTTGCCATCTCCTCTCTCTTCTTTGTTGAGGTGTCTGTTACGGTATTTTGCCCATTTTGTAATTAAGTTGTTTTCTTAATCCTGGGTTTTATGACTTCTTTGTATATTTTGGATGAAAGTCCTTTATCAAATATGTGTTTTGCAAAATTTTTCTCAGCCTGTAGTTTGTATTTCAAAGAATAATTTTTAGTTGTAATGATTCAATTTTTGCTTGTGGATATCCTGTTGTTCCAGGACCATTTGTTGAAAAGGCTATTTTTTTGCCATTGAATTCTCATTCTTCCTTTGTCAAAGAGCAGTTAGCTGTATTTGTGTTGGCCTGTTTCTGGGATTTCTGATTTTTCCCTATTGACTGATTTGTCGATTCTCTCACCAACATCACACTGAAGATCATGGTAGCTCTGTAGTAAGTCATAAACTCAAGTAAGGACTATCCTCTGACTTTGGTCTTCTTTAGTATTGTGTTGACTTTTGTCTTTCAACATAAACTTTAGAATAAGTTTGCTGATAGCCACAAAATAAGGCACATAGATTTCACTGGGATTGCATGGAATCTAAAGATCCAGTTGGGAAGAACTAACATCATAATAATATTGAGTCGTCTATTCATGAACATGGAGTATCTTTTCATTTATTTGGATCTTCTTTGATTTCACAAAGCTCATCAGAGTTTTGTAATTTTCTTTATACAGATTTATACCTGAGTGCGTTACACTTTTTGTAACAGTCTCACAGTTCTATTCATTTTTCTCTTTGTTGTTAAGTTTGTGAAATTTCTATTGACATATCTTTAAGCTCACTGAATCTTGATCAATAACCGACAAGCCATGTTCAATCTACTATAAACCCATTAAAATCATTCTCCATTTCTGTTACAGTGTTTCTGATTTCTAACCTTTCCTTGGGAATTCTTCCTGAGAGTTTATAGCTCTCTGCTTAGATGACCCCTATGTGCTTGCAGGTGGTCCACTTTTTCCATTGGAGCATGGAACATATTAATCAGGACTATTTTAAATTAAATTGCCGGTCTGATCAGTCCAAAATCTCTGCCATATTTGAGTCTGGTTCTGATGTTTGTTCTCTCTCCTCAGATTGTGTATTGTTGTTTTTCTTCTTAAAGTTGCAATTGTTTTTTGATTTTAAGCATGCCCTGTAATTTTTTGTTGAAAGTCTGAGCTTTCAACCTACTATATGAGCTACATACAACCTACTATATGAGCTACATATAGTAAGTTAGAGAAACAGAGGTAAGTATCCTTAGTGTGAAGTTTTATGTTTATCTGGCTAGGAGTTGGTTTGTGTTTGAGGATCTTTTTTTTTTTAAATGTTTTATTGTGAATTATGTGATAGTTTACATGGGAGAACACTAACTTTACATTCATCCTATTGTATATTGTTTCATTGCTATGGTTACAATTCCCTCCATGCATCATCAACCAACTAAAGGGTACACCCTGCAAGCCTGCCCCCGGTCATCAGTACACAACCCCTCTCCCTCTCTGGGTCTAGAGTCCCCAGCCGCTCCATCTCTCCACCTCATTATCTCTGCCTCCATTTCTGGCGTCACTGTTTCTCTGGGTAGCGTCCCAAGCATGGGAATTTTGGTTACTTGAGAATGAGATGGTCTGGGTTCCAATTCTAGATCTGCCCTTAGATAGCTGTGAGTATCTTCACCAAGCTTTGCCTCTGCTTCCTAATCTATAAAGTGGAATTAGTACTTGCTTATAAGTTTGTTATGAGGGTCAAATAACTAAGAATACAAGTAAACAATTCATATCAGCTCCTGACACATATTCAACATCCAGTGGAATTCTGGTGTGGCGCTGTGGGTTAATGTGCCAGACTGAAAAGCCTTTAGAACTGCAAGGTCGGTGGTTCAAGCTCACCAGCTGCTCCTTGGAAACCCTATATGTGTCGGAACCGACCCTACGGCACTTAACAACAACAAACAATACATGTTAGCTATTGTTTTCTTTACTATTATTAAAAATCCCAATTTTTTCATT